CCCCCCCCCCCCCCCCCGCCCCATTCTTCGCGCCTTGCAGGGCTTTTACCACGAGCTCCACCGGCCGTCGCACTTCTTGAATTTCACCTCCATGGAGGACGTGGAACAAGCGGCCGAGGCTGACCATGAGGACTTCTTCCAGTAGTTGATAGTGTATCTGAGTCGATCGGGTGGGATGTCGTTCACCCTGATGTTGATTCGATTCGATTCGATGTGATTGGCCGACGGGCGGGGAGATAGACAGCCTCTTGTTCTATTCCGCTGATTTGATTCGATGCGATTGGTCGACGGAGAGGGACAGAGAGAGATAGCCTCTTTGTTTGGTTCCAACAGCAGTCGGCCAATACGAAGCACAGGGAGCCAGCTGGTTGAACGAGAGTTGGCGACGCTCGCAGCGCTTGCTGCATGCGCACGTCCGATCGCTTTGGATTCTGCCCGCCCCTGAATCGGACGAAGGAAGCATCTTCTTTTTGTCGTCTTGTCCTCTGCTGGTTTCTGCGGGGGCCGGTGATGGTGCTTGTTGGACCTGCTCTGCTGCCGCTGTGGCTGCTGCTGCCAGCTGCCGGTAGTGACGATGGCAGCTGGGCTATGCAGCTCGCGCTTTCTTTTTGTTTTTCGTGGTGGGGGTAATGCGTGCTCTTAAGGGTAATTTAGTGCTGATTTTTCTTCTCGTGAAGCCGTTTTGAATATTGTTTTCCCCGGTTGGCTGTGCGCGCTGTAGTAGGGTATATGGAAATACAGCGGTAGGCGGGACACGAACAACACGAACAAGTGTCGGTATGTCCGGTATCTGTTTTGCCGCGTGTTTTGTACGCAATCTGAATTTCGGTTCGACGAAGAGTTTCTTGGACAAGTGACAGACGCGGATGTAGTGGCATAGCAGAGGTACGTGCGGGCAGGTGCCGCGTGACAAGTGGACGGTGCAAGGGGGTTAAAATTGGAAAAATGTGTGACTGCCGGAGCTGACATCTGAACGGATAAGGGGCGGGGTTCTGGCCCATGATGAGTTTGTGGGGGTAGTGCCTTCATGCGCCTACAGCAAAAGTGTGCTAGTCATCGTGCGTGTTTCGGCTCTCCAGTCCTTACAGTTGGTTGACGAGTGGAGGGGGGGGGGGGGGG